CATCACCATAACACACGCGCACCACACACACACCACACGCACACACACACACACGCACACACAACACACACACGCACGCACGCACGCACGCACGCACGCACGCACGCACACAAACACACGCACGCACACACACACACACACACACGCACACACACACATACACGCGCGCACACACACACACGCGCACACACACATACACACGCGCACACACTTACACACACACGCACACACACACACGCACACGCACACACACGCACACGTTCCCAGAAGTATGGGAAAATATGGCAAGTGGGGGGGACGACGAACATCCAAAACATGTGGACTAATATGGGGAGTCCTGAGATTTGAGTACATTTATTTGTGTGTCCGTGGGCCTCTTCAAACGCGCCGCGGGTTCTGGCCCACCACGCTTCGGCTCGACACGCTGTCAGCGCCCCAGTCCACAAGCGTCAACGTTCTGAGCTTTTCCCAGCCTCCCGCCCCGCGGAACCGAGCGACACGCTGTCTGTTTGCAGGGCATATCGTGTCGCTGGGAGCGCCGTCGCGACACGCTGAGCAAGAGCTCCCAATCGTAAGCTTTCGAGTCGGAGATCGACTGCAAAGTTGATTTACCCCGAAATTGTTTTCTTTTTCCGTTGAGACTATTTCGAATTCGTAGAATTCTTGCAGGTCCACGGGGCACTCGGAGTATGTATTGGAGGCTCGGCGAAGGAACGCGTGTGGGGCAAGCCAATCCTGCAGCCGATCTCCTGCCCGAGCCTTCCTCCTCCGCCTCCACTCCTCCCAGGGGGCCGCCCTCCGGAAGACTTGGCCGCGGAAGCGGAAGACACATCCGAGGAAGACACATCCGCGGAAGTGCAGGCGGAAGAGACCGGATCGGTACCGGTACCATCCAAAATCTTCCTTGTAGACCTCTTCGGAGGCATTTCGTCCCTGCGCGTCGCTGCCGCAGCGTCCGGACTTGGACAGTTTCGGCCACGTGCCCGCCGTCCTCCGGAGCGGTTTTCGGGGAGGGGGGGTCGGAAAGGCTCCCTGTGGAGGCAGGCCTCGGATGGGGCTGGGGCGAGGATGAGGCGGCGCCGGAGGGCTCTAGGAGGAGGAGGGGGAGGAGGAGGAGTAGGAGGAGGAGGAGGAGGAGAGCGCTCCAGAACGCACTGAGAAGGCCGCGGCGCCCGAGACATGCGTCAGAGCCGCCAGACCTCAGGGGTTCTCGATGTGTCAGCATGCGATGCGATCCTCTCGTCCTGGCATCATCTGCAGGCCCTGGTGCTCGCACGCCCCCGGAACTACAAGGCCAAGCCTCAGCGACAGCGTGCTGTGCAGAGCGGCTGTCCACAGGGGGGTCGAATAGGACCAGGTGTGGCCACGCTGCTGAGCGGCATCCTGCTGTTGCTGTGTCCCCCCGTATCCCCTCCACTACACAATATGAATACTACTCTCCCCTCTCCACCGATGACGTCGAGAAGATATCCTTCCCCGCTCCGCGTATTGTTTTTCATACAGGATTTCTGGAGCATTGGTTTTGGCTTGTTTTTAGTTCAACATGTTACTCCCGCTGAGGCGCTGGCCTCATTCTCGGGCTTCCGTTCGTTCCAAATCGTGCTCCCGCTGCAGCGCTGGCCTCATTTCCGCGCTTCCGCTCGTTCTGAATCGTGCTCCCGCTGCAGCGTTGTCCCGAATCGATCCCCCGCTGCAGCGCTGGCGTCATCATTTCCAGTGCCATGCCACGGCATTGTTGTGGGGTCTTTTCAATCAGGCACCAAAATCTATAAAATGGCCTCCCGAAAAAGCATCGGAACTGATTACACAGTCGGTGCCGATTCGTTTATTGCTTGGGCTGCAGAAGCCCCCTCCCACTTTGGGGTCGGAGGTGGATCGACCTCCCACCCTGACGCGTCGATGAAGGAATTGGCCGTTCTCGGTTCGCGGGAGGGCGTCGCGGCCGCCATTTTTGCGGGTCCAGGTCCATCGGTTTCGGTCCCAGGCCGTTTTCACGAAAGGGAGGTGTGCTAAAGGGAGGTTTGTCCTCCGCCGATGGGGCGTCGCCACGCCATGCCACGTCATGCTACGCGTTGATCTTCAGCACCATGCCATGCCATGTGATGTTGTGCCATGCTGCGACATCCGACTGTGCGGATCGAGAGGAGACCTACCCCGTGGTAAGGGATGGGAGGGAGGTGTAGGCCGTCAGATATGGCGCGAGCGCACCCAGCTTCTCCTCCCCCCCCTTTGCCCCCCTTCCCGCCCTCCTGCTGTGAAGACTGCCTGCAGGCAAGGCCCGGGCGAGCTCACCGACGACTTCGAGCTCCGGGCCCTCGAGCGCTTCCGGCAGGGCCGCGGCGGCAGCTGAAGGCTCGTCGGAAGTTCGGTGGGCTTTTCGACGGGGCGGGCACGTGCTGGCATTGGGGACTGGACTACCACATCCAAGAGGACGCAGCACGGCATTCACATCAGAGAGCAGGACTGATCCACTGACGGATCCAGTCCTCCTCTCCGTTCGTTTACATCAGACACGTTCGAAGCAGCAGCGGCAGCACGATTTTTTTCCTCGCGTGATGCCGCAAAAACACGGCGGACGGTGTCTGCTATGTTGGGGCCCTGCAGGTGCCGTCGCCGGACCCCAGGGACCGTCAGAACTACTCGGGAGGAAGAGCCGGCCCCGGGGAACGCGTCGAGACCTCCAGGGGGGTCAACGTTATGAAACAATTATGACGTCGCCAGGCCACAGGTCACCACCCACCAAACCACCCCAACCCAACCCGAAGGGTCAGATTTACCCTCGATTTCTAGTGGGGGGGGGGGTCCGGGAACATCGAAAAAACACGTATGGAGCCCATACCCCCCCCAACCCGAAATTCGGGTCTTCGGGTTGGGTTGGGGTGGTCTGGTAGGTAGTCACCAGGACCGTCAATACTACTCAGGAGGAGAAGCCGGCCCCGGGGGAAACGGGTCGAGACCTCCAGGGGCCCAACGTTGTGAAACAGTGATGACGTCGGGGATCCGGGCCATGGCGGTGGTCGACTCCCCGATGGATTTGCTGACCACTGCTCCGTGGGGATATTTTTCTAGTCGGCACGGACTTAGCCAATAACTAATACTGGGGATTTTTCTCATCGGCACGGATTCTTCTAATCAACATTCCTGAAGTGGGCTATGCCCATGCCAATAACCTTAGCAGCTCCCGCCTACCGCAGCTCAGCTGGCAGCCTCTGTGCTGCCAGAGCCTTCCTCGCGAGTCTGCTCTTGAGCCCTCTGAGGCAGACCCTATCGCAGCTTGCAGCCTTCCTGGGGAACCTGTGGGATACCCATGCTGAAGTCCGGTCGCTTCTGGCGCCGGTCGTGCTGACAGTGCTCCGGTCCCAGGTGCGCGTTCTGGAGCTCTCGCGGCCAGCGGCCACAGCGTTGCAGGGAGCTCCTCCTAACAGGCATCTTCGGTGCCCTCCTGGCCCCCACCCCCTCTGCAGCCACGCCCGCCCCGCCCAGGCAGAGCCTGGCCATCCCGGCCAATCCAGTCAGCCCAGCCTCAGCCAGCCCAGCCCCGAAACTGTCCAGACAATGGTGCGGGCCTACCGGGCCCCCCCCCGATCGCTGCGCGCGATGAGATAGCAGCGGCCTGCGCGATTGGCTCTGGTCACCTCGCGCCCCTGGGATCCGCGCACCCAAGGTCACTCCGACGTAGGGCCACTCGCGTGTAGCCAAACAGACGGGTTACGTGGAAAATCCTGGAGGCCTCGCGCGGCGCGTAATAGCTGCATTATCTAGTCCACATGGTAGCTCCGTTAGCTAATAGGTCGACGCTCTCGCGGCGATGCTCCAGCGTCGGTCCCACGTAGATCCGACGCAATTCCGACGCAGTCCAGCGTACACCTGACGCAAATACGACGTGGATCCCACGCAACTCGTGCCTCGAGTTGCCGCGCGAGGCCTCCAGGATGTTCTCCATAAGACCTGCCCAGCCGACTGTTCCACCACCGGCTCTGTTGCCGCCGTCCCGAGGCGATCCGCCAGACGGGGGCAGCGGCGCGGCGGCCGCCCTGAGCGGCCGCCCCCCCGCGCTGCGTGGGACCCCCGCGGCGACCCCCCCCCCGCGCGCGCGGCCCCCCACGCGGTGGGGCGGACCACCGTGCACGGAAGGGGTGGTTCCTCTGAGGGATCGGGTCGGAGATCGACTGCCGAGGGGATGCACCCCCGAATGAGCCAGTTCGGCGCAGGGTCGACGCAAAGTGCGTGGAGCTCCTGCACACCTATCCGGAGCATCCTGCGTAGTCTTCGCAGTTCCGACGATCGACATTGGGGGTGCAGCAATTATGTGGTCGACCTCTTGCTCGAAGGGAGAGGGCCCCAACCGCTTCCCGTCACTTCTGGCCGCCCCGGGGCCATGTTCCTGGGCGCCCAGTGGCCATCCCAAAGTAAAAAAGACAGAAATCGGGTTGGGAGGATGGTGTTGGGAGGAATGAGGATATCCTTGCTCGTAGCCAGCCGAAGGCATCGTTCATTGCATCCAGATGCTAGTGCTCAGGCCTTTCATCCTCCCAACCCCTTCCTCCCAACACGAAACATGTTTTCCTCACAAAGCAGCCGAAAACGACAAGTTACGAAGCCACAGGCGCTGGGCCATGAGATTCCGAGTGTTGCACAGGGCATGGTGAGGTGCCGCCTCGCCCACCGACGCTGAGTGCCCTGGTGAAGGTCCCCTGAGGGCTCTGCACAGTGGAGGCCCATGCCAGGAAATACTCTGCTTGCCTCCAGGGTGCCCTAGGTTTCTTGGGTTTCGATGGTTTTCCACATATCCTGAGATGGGCTTCTTGTTCTTACTTAGACCGCGCGGAACACAGGAAGGAACATGAAGGAATGATGGAAGGTACACACCTACCACCCGCAGGTCATTATTTTTTCTCTGACTCACTCACACATTCACACTCACACTCCTCACTCTCACTCATACTCAGTCTTACGGACGTCCAGACACACTCACACTAAGACTCACTCATACTCTGCCTCGCTCTTCCTCATTCAGACTCAGCCACACCACTTCCGCGCTCAGACTCAAACACACGGTATGATGATGTCTCAGGCGAGGCGTTGGTTTCAGCACTCCCAAGATGGGACGCCAGGGGGTATTGCACGGGTCCGTTCGCGCCCAGATTGGGGGGGATGTCTCAGGCGGTTTGCCTGTTTGGGTGCTCAACTTCCTTCTCTTGCGGAGCAGTTTCCGAGGATGTCTCAGGCGAGGCGCTGGTTTCAGCACTCTCAAGGTGGGGCGCCAGGGGATATTGCACGGGCCTGTTCGTTCCCATATTGGGAGGATGTCTCGAGCGGTTTGTCTGTTTGGGCGCTCAACATCCTTTTCTTTCGGAGCAGTTTCCGAGGATGTCTCAGGCGAGGCGCTGGTTGCAGTACTCCCCAAGATGGGACGCCAGGGGGTATTGCACGGGTCCGTTCGCGCCCAGATTGGGGGGGATGTCTCAGGCGGTTTGCCTGTTTGGGTGCTCAACGTCCTTCTCTTGCGGAGCAGTTTCCGAGGATGTCTCGGGCGAGGCGCTGGTTTCAGCACTCTCAAGATGGGGCGCCAGGGGATATTGCACGGCCCGTTCGTTCCCAGATTGGGGGGGTGTCTCGAGCGGTTTGCTCCTTCTGGTGCTCAGTATCCTCTGCTTTCGGAGCATAATGGAGGATGTTTCGAGCGAGGCGCGCATTTCAGCACTTCCAAGGGGAAGCCGCCAGGGGGTACTGCATTCCTCAGTTCGCGCCAAAATATCGGGGATGTCTCGAGCGGGGTGCTTGTTTCGATGCTCAACATCCCCGGCTTTCGGAGCAGATTCGGAGGAGGTCCCCAGCGAGGCACCCAGTTTCGCCCCCATCTGGGGCCAGATCTTGAGGATGTCTCGAGCGGTTTGCCTATTGTGCTGGCAAGACTCATGGGCACGGATCTTCTTCAGGATGCCACAAGAGGCCAAAGGAGGCTCCAGGAGGCCACAGGACGTACCAGAATGTATCAGGATGCCACAGGGGGCTCCAGGAGGGTCCAGCAGGCTCCAGGAGGCCCCGCGAGGGCCCAGAAGGCTCCAGGAGGCTCCAGGATGCTCCAGGATGCAACAGGAGGCCACAGGTGGCCGCAGGAAGCGCAAAAAGGCACCAGGAGGCCCTGGAAGGTACCAGGGGGCCCCACGAGTCCCCAGGAGCAGGAGGCACCAGAAGGCCACGGGAGTGGCTCCAATCCCATGTGTTGTACGCCTGCTCCTACGATTGTGCTTCCCCTGGAGCACGAGCCCTGGACTTTTTTACGTATGTTTCTATAGATTTGGCCTCCCGTGGGGCACGAGTCCTCGGTGTTTTACGTGTGTTCCCATAGATTGCCCTTCTTATGCGGTTCCAACCCGTAGTGTTTTCTGTACGTCTGTTCCTATAGATTGGGCCTTCCTTGGGGCGCCTCAAGAGTCCGTAGGCATTTTGGCTCAAGATTGGCATTTTGGCTCAAGCGTTCGCACGGCCGCGCCTCCGTCCGCGTGATGGCGCTGCCTAGAGGGGCTCTGGATCCCGTGACGGCTGCCCGCCTCGTCGAGGCGGCTGTGCGCGGGGCGATCGGGGCGCCGAGGCGCATGGTGGCGGCGGTTGCGCGGTCAGCGGTCTCGGTGGCGGCCTTCGCCGTCGCGGCGCCGCCACCGCCCGCCGCCGCCGCTGGCGCCGGGGCGCCACCTCCTGTTCCTTGTCCTGTTGTTCCAGGCCGCGCGGGTGCTGCTGCGAACGGCCCGACGGCGCTCGCCGCTCGGCATCGGCGCCGCCGACAGCACCGCGCGGCGCGAACGGCCGCCGCGGCGCCCCTTGCTGCCGCAGGCGAGGGCGCTGGGCAGGCTGCTGGAGCCGCTGCTGCCGCTGCTGGTGCGGGCCTCGCGCTCGCCCCCGTGGCCGCTGTGGAGGCGGAGGCTGCCGACGCGGAAATGGAGGACTTCGACGACGCATGAGCCGACGGGCTCGTGCGATTCCCCGATGGTGGGGCGGTGGCGTCCGCTGCGGAGGCCCGCCCGCCTCCCTCGGGCGGGGCCGCTGCCGCGGCGGAGGCGGCGGATCCAGCTCGCGGAGCTGGAGGAGCTGCTGTAGCTGCGGGGTGCGGCCTCGGGTGCGACGGCCAGGCCGACGGAGCCGCGCGGCGGCGACGCGGGCCCAGGCGTTCTCGGGCGAAGGCGGCGGCGGAGCTGGGTGTGGCGCCCGCGGTGGCGGCGCCTGCTGTAGGCGGAGCTGCGGCCTCGGTGGTCGGCCCTGGGGAGGTCTTCTTGGTGGCCGACGGCCTCCTTCGCCAGGCGGCTGACTACGAGCATCGGCTCAGCGAGCAGCTTCGGCAGATGCTGGAGTCCGTGAGCTGGAGGCCTGCCAGCGCCTTTTAGCCCGCGCTCGCGGGTGGCGCGCCTTGCGCCTGGTGGCCCCCCCCGCCTTTGCTCCTGAAGGAGTGGTTTCGGTGGAGTGCCCTCTTTGGAGGGTGGCACAGCCTGGAGGGTGCCCCGCGGGGGTGCCCCAGGTGATGCCGCAGACCTCAGTAGGGCCAGCCGAGCATTCGTCAGCCTCGGCCTCTGCGGTAGCGGCGGTGTCAAGGGGAGTGCCTTCGGTGGTCTGGCCCCGCTTGAGGCTGGCACGGTCAGGTGGGTGCCCCGTGCGGGCGCCCCTGGTGACGGCGCGCACCCTGGAACCACCCCAGGACCGAGCTCGCGCCGCGCGAGCCGAGGGCGCAGCTAAACAATTGGGGCGCCTCAAGAGTAAACAGGAAGCCCGAAGAGGCCCCGAGAGGCTCCAGGAGGCCGCAGGAAGCCCCAGGAGGCTTCAGGAGGCCCCAGAAGGCCCCAGGCTCATGCGCAGATGCGCGCTCGTACTATTGAGACTGATTCACGCTCCAACTCATTCACAGTTAGATGCACCCCCAGACCGACAATGTTAAGCCTGTGAATGTTCGGAAACTCTTGCGCCTCGACACTCACGGCGGACAGGCTCATGCTAATAGGTGTGCAGATGGTAGCTCCACGCAGTGAATTATGATGGGCAGCGATGCGCTCCAATACCAAGGATCAGAGGACGTCCTGGGGTCTCAGGGCAGGGTTTCTCGTGGAAGGTTTACCATGGTCGTGCCCCCACTGTAACCGTAGACGCGCTAACGGCGATGTAGGTAGCCACGCGGGGCTCGCGCTTTCTTTCCCACATTGCGCTGTATTGTTGTCGTTCGATCGATTTGCATTTGGGAAAGTGAGGAAGTGTGGACCGCGATGTCCTACAAGTTGGTTCCCATCACCACCTTTGAGCAGCATCGCCGTTAGCGTGGCAGTGGTGCAATCTGCACCCGCATCCCTGGGGGGACCCGCGATTTCCTACAAGTTGGTTCCCATCATCACCTTTAAGCAGCAACGCTGTTAGCGTGGCCTTGGTCTAATCCGAGCCCGTTTCCCTCGGGGGACCCGCCTCCTTCCTCCCCTTGCCTACCGGACAGCGGAGCCCGCGGCGCGACGCCCACGCGGTCTGGGGCACCGCTCGGCCGCCGCCGCCGTCGCCGTCGTCATCGTTGCCGCCGCCGCCGCCGCCGCCGTCGTCGTCGTCGTCGTCGTCGTCGTCGTCGTCGTTGTCGTCGTCGTCTGTTTTCGTCGTCGTGATTAGCGTTGTCGTTGGCGTCGTCTGTCGTCGTCGCCGTCGACGCCGACAGATTCGGAGGAGGTCCCCAGCGAGGCACTCAGTTTCGCCCCCATCTGGGGCCAGATCTTGAGGATGTCTCGAGCGGTTTGCCTATTGTGCTGGCAAGACTCATGGGCACGGATCTTCTTCAGGATGCCACAAAAGGCCAAAGGAGGCTCCAGGAGGCCACAGGACGTACCAGAATGTATCAGGATGCAACAGGAGGCTCCAGGAGGGTCCAGGAGGCTCCAGGAGGCCCCGCGAGGGCCCAGAAGGCTCCAGGATGCTCCAGGATGCAACAGGAGGCCACAGGTGGCCGCAGGAAACGCAAAAAGGCACCAGGAGGCCCTGGAAGGTACCAGGGGGGCCCACGAGACCCCAGGAGCAGGAGGCATCAGAAGGCCACGGGAGTGGCTCCAATCCCATGTGTTGTACGTCTGCTCCTACGATTGTGCTTCCCCTGGAGCACGAGTTACGTATGTTTCTATAGATTTGGCCTCCCGTGGGGCACGAGTCCTCGGTGTTTTACGTGTGTTCCCATAGATTGCCCTTCTTATGCGGTTCCAACCCGTAGTGTTTTCTGAACGTCTGTTCCTATAGATTGGGCCTTCCTTGGGGCGCCTCAAGAGTCCGTAGGCATTTTGGCTCAAGATTGGCATTTTGGCTCAAGCGTTCGCACGGCCGCGCCTCCGTCCGCGTGATGGCGCTGCCTAGAGGGGCTCTGGATCCCGTGACGGCTGCCCGCCTCGTCGAGGCGGCTGTGCGCGGGGCGCTCGGGGCGCCGATGCGCATGGTGGCCGCGGTTGCGCGGTCAGCGGTCTCGGCGGCGGCCTTCGCCGTCGCGGCGCCGCCACCGCCCGCCGCCGCCGCTGGCGCCGGGGCGCCACCTCCTGTTCCTTGTCCTGTTGTTCCGGGCCGCGCAGGTGCTGCTGCGAACGACCCGACGGCGCTCGCCGCTCGGCATCGGCGCCGCCGACAGCGCCGCGCGGCGCGAACGGCCGCCGCGGCGCCCCTTGCTGCCGCAGGCGAGGGCGCTGGGCAGGCTGCTGGAGCCGCTGGTGCCGCTGCTGGTGCGGGCCTCGCGCTCGCCCCCGTGGCCGCTGTGGAGGCGGAGGCTGCCGACGCGGAAATGGAGGACTTCGACGACGCATGGGCCGACGGGCTCGTGCGATTCCCCGATGGTGGGGCGGTGGCGTCCGCTGCGGAGGCCCGCCCGCCTCCCTCGGACGGGGCCGCTGCCGCGGCGGAGGCGGCGGATCCAGCTCGCGGAGCTGGAGGAGCTGCTGGAGCTGCGGGGTGCGGCCTCGGGTGCGACGGCCAGGCCGACGGAGCCGCGCGGCGGCGACGCGGG